GTGGGCACCCAGCTACCACGGATCACTCCCTGGGCAGGGGCCGGGGCCGCTCCACTTGGCCGGGGCGGGGCCCCGAAGCACGGTGCGGGGCCGCACCTGAGCTGCTCCAACCCGCGTGCGGACCCGGTCTGGCTCCCGGTGCTTGTGCTGACGCGGAGCCCCCGGTGCCCCCGAGAGCCGGAGCCTCGCCCCCCCGCCCGCGGGCACTTCCGGGACTGCTCTAGGCCGCGCGGAGGTCCTCGCGTCTCGGTGGTCCCGCCGCGCCTGGTGTCGGGGCGCGCAGCCGCGGGGCTCCGGGCTCCGGGACAGGGATCGGGAGAGACTCTCCTGTCCGACGACGCAGAGGCTCTGGGCTGCCCCCAGAGTGAGTCCGGCCGGGAGGAGAACAGAGCTGGGCAGTCGTTGGCAGGAGTGCAGGGGAGGAAACTGAGGCCGGGAGGGGCAGGCCGGCTGCACTTGCCCTGAGGGTGGGGGCCGCCAGGGGCCGCCAGGCGTGTGGGGTCTTCAAGAGGAGAAGGAGATTCTGGAGCGGAGCCCATCAGCTCTCTTAGGCCCAGGAGCCCTGCGGATTCATCATCCCTTGCTGGTTCTGCCTGCACATCCAGCCCCCACAGAGGCGGGAATGAGAGGAAGGGCCCGCGGAGGACCCCCAGCCGATGGCCGCGCGTGTTGGCTGGACCCTCTCTGGACTCAGTACATTTGAGGGATGACCTCCAGGCATGAGCCGCCTCCTAGGGGAACCGGGAGGGAAGAGGGATGTGTTCTTGAACCCCCCACCCCACTCCCAGACTCTCAGCTCTGCTTCTGATGGCAAGACTTGCCCCTCCCCCTGGCTTGCTAAGGGTGGGGGGGAAAAAAGGACACTTATGTAATACCCTTTGTAATACTTTTAGCGGAAAAAAAAAAAAAAGACTTGCCCCTCCCCCTGTGCTTCCCCCTGGGCCCACCTGCCTGTGGGAGAGCCTCCCTGGGGAGAGTGGGGCACAGCCCTCTCATGGGAGACCAATAGAACACGTGTTCCTGAGGGGGGGCAGGGGGAGTGCTGCCCACTCAGCCAGCCCCTACCATCTGCCCACCCGCCTTCACGCTGGCCCTCAGGTGCCTCTGAGTGCCCTACACACACACACACACACACACACACACACACACACCACACACTCACAGCTGCCTCCCTGCTCCATCAAGGAGTAGGCAGGGACTGCCCCTACCCTCCCTAGCAGCCTGGGTTCCTTGGGAACCCAGTTGTCACCCCGTGAGCATTGGACCACAGCCAGCCATGCGGAGCTGGGAGTGGCAGGGCTGGTTCCTTTTTTTTTTCTCCAGCTCCTGGGGTCACAGGAAGGCCAAGCGACCAGTCTGAACCCCCCTGGGGGCCAGGGGAGAGGCCGGGCCCTGTCCCAAGGGTCTCAGGTGCTTCCTCTTACGCACCAATCCCCAGAATCGCTGGCCCCCTTCACCCTCCCCAACCAACCACAGTCACTTTTTCAGCAGAGATCTCATGGCCAGTATTGACATGTTGGCTATTATTAGCCCATTTTACAGAGGAGGAAAATCAAGGCGCAGAGAAAGTTAGAGAGAGGCTCAGGTCAGAGACAGAAGTGGGAGACAGGAGGCATTCACCCCACACCCCACCCCTAGGATATGTAACCAACAGAGCAGTAATAATCCGCATCGTCCTCGGGCTGCACGGGGCTGATGATCAAGATGCCGGCATTTTGGGCTGCGTCTGTGGCCGCTGAGAAGCGGTCGGGGATGTCTGGGGACCGGTGGTGATCCTCCTTGGAGCGGTAGTAGAGGAGATAGCGGGGGGCGCTTCCCGCCCGCTGCTGGTACCAGGACACGCCGTAGTCCCCGATGTTGGCGTGGCGGGGGTTGAGCATGCAGGAGATTTGGACCACTTGGCCTGGGAACACCAGCAGTGCATCTGGCTGGGTCAGTACTGGCTGGGAGACTGAAAGAGACAGACCTGCTCAGGCCTGGCCTGGGCCCCTGTTCTCCCACTTCTGCCTTATGAAGATGTGGTCAGACTCCCAAGCCAAACAACTCCTGTTCCTAGAGGGCTCGTGGCCTGGTGCCGTGGGATGGGCACAGGATGGGGTACTGAGTTGGTGACTCCTAAAGCCCCATCAGTGCCATGTTCCCGAGGATCTGTGTTCAGTTGCAGGCCTGAAGTTTAAACGGTGGGACCGGTGGCCTTTTGCTCACTCCCACCCCTTGTCCTGAAGACCCCCATCCCCTCAGTCACACTGGCTCTTCCAAACCCTGGCTGCAGACTAGCCACCGCCAGGAAGCTCTGGGCTGTACCACCCATCAGCTCAGCCTCAGGCAACTGGGTGCTGAGGACCTTCTTGGAGTTAGGTTGTTCCCGAGGCCCTGTGAGGTCGGGATCAGCCCACACCAGCTTCTCCTGTGAAAAACTCAAAAGGTCACCAGCTCCAGCCCCTTCTCAGACGCTAAAGCAGTGGTCGGCAAACTGCGGCTCGGCAAACTGTGGCTCAGGAGCCACATGCGGCTCTTTGACCCCTTGAGTGTGGCTCTTCCACAAAATACCGACTTCTGCGCATGGGCCACGAAGTTTCAATCTCACTGTACGTGCGCGCCCGCACGTGGTATTTTGTGGTATTTTGTGGTATTTTGTGGAAGAGCCACACTCAAGGGGCCAAAGAGCCGCATGTGGCTCGAAAGCCGCAGTTTGCCGACCACGGCGCTAAAGAGTCAACGTTCAAAGGGACTCTAGTGGTCTGGTCAATCAGAAATGGAGAAACTGAGGCGCACCCAGAGAAGTGACTTGCCCCAGGTCTAGGGCACAGCCATCCCCTCTGCAGCCAGTTCTCCCCTTCACCTCAGTGCCCCTTCCAGAACCTCCCGCTGCTCATCTCAATTTGCTTCTTTGCAGGGAGGGGCCTTCTGGAGCCAGTGCTGTCCCCTACCCCACCCCACCCCACCCCACCCCCAGGTGAGCCAGGCCCAGGAGAGCTCACCTGCCAGGAGGGCTCCAAGCAGAAGGAGGGCCAGGCGCCACCAGGCCATGGCCAGCAGCAGCGAGGCAGGCGGGAGCGTTCTGTTGGGTGTGCCCCAGGTGCTTCAGGGCACGGGCCGGGGAGGCTACTGGACCACAACAGGGCATGCAAATCAGCCCAGTGATTGGTGGGGGAGGCAGGGGCTGGGGCCCACTGCCAGGCCCCATCTCCCCAAATGTGAGAGTCCTGACCCCCCCCTCCCCCCGCCCGCCGAGCCTTCTGAGAACAGGAGCCAAAATCCACACATGCACTGAAGACACACCCCTCAGCACTTAGGCCATTTCTTCAGAACCTGGCTGCGGCCACCCCTGAGCTGTGTTCTGCAGGACTCGGGTCCCCAGACACAGTGGTGTCCCCGGAATAAAGTGCCCTGCACTTTAAATAAGTTTGGGAAACGCTGTCCGTTTCCACGGTATTGATCCTGAGCACCGGCTACTGCTGAGCACTGTAATGAGGCATCGGATTTAATCCTCACAGCTGTCCTGTTCTCACTCCCTGAGGATCATGCTTATTCCGAGGCCGAATGACCAGGCAAGCTGCGAAGATAAGAAGATCCGTC